GGCAAATTAATGCGTTCCAAATTCAATTGGGGCCAGCAATTTAGTCATAATGAGACTATTCAGGCGCTAAACACACCCTTTGTATTCTACATAGTGTGTGGGGGTATAAAATGAAGAAAAAAAGTTTAAAAATTTTTCAATTATTTTGTCAATTTATGTAAGGTCAACATTTTTTTTTACTTGACCTTAAAGTGCAGTTGGAACATTCAAGGCTTTGCCCTGGTATACGAGCAGTCTTGTTCTACATTAATATCATTCTACATTAATCATACTATCCTATTTTATACAGTTCATACTCCAACCCCTAAAATTGGATTACAATCAATTTGAAATTTTCAAAACCCAGTGGGTTTTATGAAGTTTTAATCAACTGCGATGTCTAAAAGCCGCAGGTTATCCTATGTAGCCATTAGCCATTATTGTTAGCCCATAGTCATCAGAAAACATACTGCCTCTCAATTTAGCTGGACAATCTACCTTTCGATTTTCAAAATATAAGTTCAATAAATTTAGAATAATTTTTTCTATAATGTTAAAATAAGCAGTTGCTTGAAAGTAGGTCTGCTATTAGTGCTAACCAAACTATCAGTTTTTATTATAGTACCAGTATTTTTCAAATCACGTCTGATACTTTCCAATCATCACTTAAGCGACATGGGAAACGAAACCAGCAGACAAAATGATGGGTAGAGTTGTTGTCCAATCTCAACTTGAGCTGTTAACTGGCAGATTCGTTAAGATTTTCAACCCTTCCCCCCCCCCCCACTTTCACAGTAGAACAGTAGCGGATTTCGATAGGAAGGGTCAGACCAGAAACTCGATTTCTGACCGTGGAAAAGGCCTCCTTTTGGTACTATTCTATGACATCAAATTTTGACCGATTGGTGGTTTATTTTCCTTCAATTGATTTGGGCGCCAAGATACAATATTTTTTGAGTGGGATGCTGCGCACCTGAAAATGGCATGCGCGACTGCTATTAAAGTTGACGGAAAAAACAAAAATTCTAATAAGTTTTTTGCAATACGGCCATAGTTTAACCACTATTAGCCAAAAATTAGCATGATTTTTTTGCTGATTGAGAAACAATTCACTCAGTTTTTGAGCAAGAATTCTTTTCAATTCTTTGGACGAAATTTAAAGAACAGTACAATCTATTTGTTTTTGCTTGAAAAAAAACTAAAAAGGTAGCATTTTTGCATATTCACAAATATTAAAGTTTTTATGGAAAATACGTATTAGAATACCAATTCAAGGAAGGGGTAAAAAGTTCAGTTCTTAAAACATTTTAAAAATTTGTTTGTGTGATGTAAATTCTACTTTTTTTTCGGTCTTCTTGAAGGATTCCATGGTTTTTACGAATGAAATTTTCAAGCTCAAACTAATTTCTTGTTATGTTTACAGTAAAAGCCTCGCAGGTCATTGATTCAGCAGATTTTTCTTGTAAGCAATTCGATAACAGCATCTATCAAAATCAATTTTTCAATTCGAATTCATTTTTTCCTGATAATTGATCTAAAAATGAAAAATTTTTCTCAAATCTTTATAAAACTCATATAATCATATCCCCAACTAAGCTAGAAAGTCATTTTGCAATTTATGTTCAATAAACAGCAATTGTTTTTTTGCGCATGTTAATTGCGGAAAACCTTTAAAAATTTTCATTTATTAAATCTGCATTATGAATCTTCGTTCATACTTCAGACAACTTTAGCTTAGAAACCGGCAGTTTTGATTAGATTTTGGAAGACGAGAATGCGAAACAGCCTCGATAAATTCAAAGCATTGACGTAATTGAGAATAACTATTGCTCGATTGTTTGATAGTCGGACGTCATTGGAAAAGTAACTTTATTATTTTTCCAATGACGTCCGACTATCAAAATTGTTTTTTAAAGCACTTGAAAACCTCTCTCACAATAGAGTTCAGCAAATTTCTCGATTATAATTTTTTTTTCGGATCGTTAGATAATATTTGTTTGAACAACAAAATAATTGATCACCTTGCTATAAGGTGTTGCGATGGGGTAGCTTTGTAGTTCCTTAAAAATAAAGCTTTTTCTTACAAAATACTACACATTTAATCAAGTGTGGACTTGTTTCCAACGAATAGATGTGATTCTGAAGCAGCGCACGTCAAAACTTAAATTGACAACGAAAATTAAATCGCACTTAATTGGAATGTTAAAAAACAATATCAACTAAATGGCACCATCCAAATTTAAATGAACTCTACAATTAATTGCAAGCACGAAGCATCACTCTGGGACAAAAATTTGTGACGCAAGTTCATTGTCCCAGCATTTTTGTTGATTTTCAGAAATAATTGTAACTCCAGGATTTGCGGCAAAAAAAAAACGTTTAAAACAGGATTTGCGGCAAAAAAAAACGTTTAAAACAGGATTTGCGGTAAAAAAAAGACAATTGTTTTTTGACCTACCCTGTTTTGAATGTGTAAACAGGTTACGTAAGCATTTTTTTCACTGTGATTATAGTTTTGACTGTAAGCCATGCTTTACAAAAATGCCGATAAAAATCAACCTGAAGTATGATTTTGTCAATTTTTTTGTTCGACTTTCAACTTTTGTTCGACTTTCAATTTGTTGTTCGACTTTCCTTTTAACCTGGCGAATTATCCAACACTACAACTGTTCCGATTTCAATTGAGGCAATAAGCTAGTTGGTCTTCATAATTACATACACAATTCACAATTGCAACTTATAATTTGATATTATCAGCATAAAATTCATATTTTTGCCAATATTCAATTTACAAAAAACATTCAAGAACAAATAAAGGGAAGTTTGAACATTCAGGGTTTTGCCCTTATACTAGAAATCTACTTCATTTTTTGTAAGCGTTTTTTTTTGTGGAGAAAATGTGAAAACTATAATAAGAAAACGACGAAAAGAATTCTCTGAATCAATTTATCAAATCAATGAAAAATTAACAAAAATAATAATTTACTTCTAATCATGTTTAGTCGAAAAAAGAATAGAAATTGATTGTTTTTGAGTTGTTTCGAGGTAAATTTTACAGCCTTATTTGACAGTTTCAACTCAATTTGAAAAATTTTGTGTCAAAACAATTCTTCAACTAACACCTCTTAATTTTGGCAAACAGCTGACAACAAGTTGGTTGGTCTGAGTAAGCAGTTAATGCTTAATTGTTTCAGAAACAAAAAAAACTACTCGTATCAGGGTAAAGCCTCGAATGTACCGACTGAATTTTAAGGCCAATTTGAAAGTTTTTTGGTTGAAAAACCGACGATATAACTTTTTTATTTTGTCTTAAATTTGGCGACACTCTTTTGTGAACAGCGCGTCCAGACAGTTCGGCCAAAGACAATTCAGCCGATTTGAAATTCAGAAAATTCAGCCAAAAGTATGCAGACAATTCAGCCAAAGACAATTCAGCCAATAAAATTGACCGCCGCAGTCGCGCCAACGTGTTGCGAGCTTGCCAACAGAGGGTAGGACTCTATACGAAAATTGGAGCCGGTTATCGTATAGAGTCCGGCGACCTTAAACCGAGAAATAACTCCAATTCCGATTTTTTTTTCTGTCGAATCTAGCGTTTTGTAAAACTGGCTGAATTGTCTGTATATTTCTGGCTGAATTGTCTAAATTTCAAATTGGCTGAATTCTCTTTGGCCGAATTGTCTGTGCGCCGTGAACAGTAAAGGAAAGTGTTTTTGTTCTGACTTTCGATACGAAAGTAACGGAATATTTGTGCTCGGGGTGGGTTTTTTTTTTCTTCAGACAAGTTTCGACTTTTTAACTAGCTATTTGTGACGGAAATTTTTATATCATTCAAAAGGTATGCTTGTCCTGAGCCTAAATTTGAAAATATATTTCACCTGTGATCATTTTGCGTAAAGTTATGAGGGTTTAAAGATTGCCCTTTTGGCCATTTTGACTAATTTGGGACAATTAACGCGCTATATATTTCGCGCTATTAACGCGTAAGCGGAGATTTAATCCGTCTTATAGATCTTTCCAAATTTGTTGAACGAAGCTTATTTGCCATAATTGATTTGTTACAAGGAGCGAAATCTATCTTTTTGTACTTTTTTTGGCGCGTGGGGTGATGATTTTCATAAAAAATTTCAAATTTTAGACAAAAAAATTTCATTTTATTTTATTTCATTTATTTTTTTTATGCATTATTGCTGCTCCATAGACCTTAAAAGGCAGTCGGAACATTCAGGGCTTCGCTCTGATTTGAGCAGTCTTGTTTCTCTTGTATCCTAATACGATCGTATGACTTGTACCCAAATACGACTTTATAACAAAATTATTATTCGTAGACTACTTGTCTTTGTAACTTTGCTATGGCAGAAACTGATCTTGTTCAACGAAAGTATTGCCAAACGACAATAAGGCAAAACAAGATTGCTCGTATCAGGGCGAAACCCTGAATGTTCCGACTGCCTTTTAAGGTTTATGGAGCAGTAATAACATTAAAAATTTCAATGAAATAAAACAAAATCAAAAAAAAAATTTCTAAAATTTGAAATTTTTTATGAAACTCATCCCCCCACACGCCATTCAAAGAACAAAAGGATAGATTTTGCTCCTTGTAACAAACCAATTATGGCACATAAGCTTCTTTTAACCAATTTGGAACGATTTCTAAGGCGGATTAACTCTCTGCTTACGCGTTAATAGGGCGAAATATATCGCGCGTTAATTGTCCCAAGTTGGCCAAAATGGCAATCTTTAAACCCCCGTAACATTACGAAAAATGATCACAGGTAAAATATCTTTTCAATTTTAAGCTCAAGACAACAATACCTTTCGAATGATATAAGAAAAATCCGTCAAAAATGGCTAGTTAAAAAGTCGATATTTGTCTGAAGAAAAAAAAACCCACCCCGAGCACAAATATTCCGTCACTTTCGTATCGAAAGTCGGAACAATAACTGCGGTGGCAAAACATGTCGAAAAATACTTGAAAAAATTTTAACTGACTTGCTGTTGGTGATAAAAGTTTGTGTAAAATTTATATTGAATTTTGGTTAAATGGTACAAATTACAATCCGTTCAGCTCAGTGAAACTATTATTTGCAATAAAACACTAAATTTTAATATTTTCATTAAAAACAAACAAAAAGAAGATCAAAGCTGTCAGAGGATGTTATCAAATCACAAGTGCCGGTTTTCCGAATTTCTCTGGTTTTCTTTTCCCAACTGACAGCTTTTTCAAAATAAACAACAGATTTTCGACAAGTTTAATACAATTTCATTGAGTAAATATCGCACTTTTTTAATAGACTTGGAGCTCTGATTGAGTAATTACAATTAATTAAACGTGCATTCAAGCAAAGCAGTTTATGCACAAAGGTTAAAATATTAAACTTGAGATGGTTTTTACAATATTGACATTAAGTAGTATCTATGCGCAGATTTTTTCTTTGCGAAACTTGGAGGTTTCGAAGTCATACGCTGAGCATCTTTGAAGAAACTCGTTGCTGAGTGAATTCCTCGGCACCTTAGTAATAGCTAAAACACAGACCATAACTAAGTAAATAATACAAATAATCAATTTGCCTTCTAATGACAAATCGAAATGATCTGGAGCTTCAAGATTCAACAAAGATGTATAGCAAACAAGTTTGAAAGTTTATAGCTGACGGCCTTATTAGGAATTGGTAACACGAAGGCAATTTGAGGGCTTCTGGGCATGGTTTGCTGCTTTCTGTTTTCGTGCTTTGAGAAACCTGACTTATTTTTGTTTTATTTTAGATAAACTTTCCTAGTTTCTTGAAAGTTTTTTAAGTTTTTGAAAGTTTTGTCATTTTTGAGCACCATGTTCTCATATAAATTGTATGCACTCAAAACACTTTTATTCAAACGCAACGATCCTTCTACTTTATCCTGTTTCTCAATGTGTTTCACAACTTAACCTACGGCACAATTGATTCTAATGGTTTTGCCATTCGTCGCGAAAAAAAAATTTTTCGCAAAAAAATCAGATCGAGTCGCTCAAATGGAAAAACATGCCTGTTTGGCTGCTGAGGTACCAAAAAATTTTACTTGAAGATTGCTTTTGTTATAACCGAATTTTAATTTGAGAAGTTGAATTATTTTTTAATACAGAACCTTTGAAATTTGAAGCTTGATCTCAACCTATATTTCAAGCCAACCTGGAAATTGAATTTACAAAAATTTGGAGAAATGAAAATTGATGCAAAAAAATTTGTGCATAGAAGAAAAGCACAGCTCAGTTCCAAAACAACAAAAATTTATTTGAAAAACATACTGACACTCATTTACTCAAACTTTTTAAAGAACTAATTTTATGAAAAAGCTACATCCGTTTTTTTTTGTTTCCAACTGTGTCTCTTTTTATGTTATTTCTGAAATCAAAACAGTAAATTAAACATGTAATTGAATAAATCATACAAACTTAAAGCAGCACTTCACAAAAATATTTGAAAGTTTCGATCTGGAAGCGATTTCAGGTGCGAAATATTTCTTAACTATGCATTCAATTTGAAAGAAACTAAATAACAATCCAATGAATTTAAAACGTAGCCAAAAAACAGTGGGAAAAAGGTTCATGAACGTAACTAAACAGCAAAAAATACTGACTTGAAAATATACTGACTTGAAAAAAAATTATATGATCTTTTGAAGATCATTTAAAAAGCCTTAACTATCTTTGATTTTCTAAAAACTATTGATGATTGACATTTTTGATAAAATTAACTTAATTTGAGAAAACTGGATCAAATGGTAATTTTTTATTCAGCTGTTATATCTGAAAAATAAAATTGCCGCCAACAGACAGTAGGAAAAGTGTCAATGAACGCAATTAAGCAAAAAATAGAGTCTTTTTTTTAAAAAAATCAATTTTCAAAATATTGAGAAGAAAAACATGCCCTTAAAACTTTTTTAGTTTCTAGAAAAATTAATGAACGGTACCAAATTATAGAAAACTGAATCATTATTTTAAATTTTTTATTTCGCTGGGAGAACTGAAAATTAAATTCTAGTTTTGAATTTAAAAGTAGATCGCCTTTTCTGAGATCTTTACACTTTTGCTGTTCATCATTGGAGTTTGCTTCTTTTTAGCAAGAAAAATTGAACTGAAATCTGAAGTCAAAAAAGTGATTTTGAGCCTGAACAAATTTAAAATTTTTCCTGAAAAAAACTTTAAAAATTTATCGCGACCTTTATATGAGTCTGAACTAGGTTCATTGACATTTTTAAAAAATCTCTTTCGAAACTAGAAGTCTTTCACGTTTCTCAAGGTCCCTACAATTTCGCTGTTTGATATTGAAATTTGCTTTCAATTTAATAAAGAAAATAGTCAAACTCCAAACCGCTAAAATTCAAACAAAAGGCAAAAAAAAACTATAGGATTTTTCCCAAAAACAAATCCTCGCGACCTATATTAGAGTCGAATTACTACAATGACTCTTCAGAATAAAACTGACAAAATTTGTTTGAAAAATGAAAGAAAATCGTAGGGTTTGTAACAATTTGTTAAATTGCATCAGAACCGCAGAACCCTACATACGTTGACAATTGATAAAAGACAGATTTTTAATCTGATCAACTCTTCGTCAAAACTGGCAAAGCTTGATGAGCAAACGAGAAAAACTAAAAAGAAAAAAAAAATAATGTTGAAGCAAAACTTGAATTATCTTTTTCAGAATTCGTTATTTAAAATCAAACCGTTATTTTGTTATTCTTAAAAAGTAAAACTAAAAGTACGAAACAAAGTAGTAGAAACAAAAAGGTAATGAACGCAAGTAAACATCAAAAAAACACTGACTTTGTTGAAAAAAGCTCAATTTTTCAACTTCAAAGAAAAAAAATGCCCTTTAAGCTCTTTGAATATTTAGAACGATTAAAGATTTACGATTGGCGCTTTTTTGATAACATTATTTCAATTTGAGAAAACTGGATCAACATGTAAAGTTTTCATTCCGCTGGAAATCTAAAAAATAAATTCCACTTTCGAAACTAGAAATCGTTCACATTTTTCTTGCGTCAAATCCACTTTCGTATTTGAAGTGTGCTATTTACGTCAGTTTCAGCAGGTGAATTTCAAATGAACTCAAAAAACGCATATACACTTAAGTGCAGTCAGAAATGCATCAATAAGTATGAACGCACATCTGTAATTGTTAGAGACTTTTAAGACTTTTCCTGAAAAAAAAAAACGAAAAAAAATCAGCAAGACCTATACAAGAGTCTTCACTACGTTCATTACCTTTGATAGTAACTGCAACCAACTACGTCACTACAATTATAATTAATAAATTGTTAATCGACAAAATCAACGTCACGTGGAAAATTTTTTTCAATTTTTTTTTTCAAATTGAATTTTTGGTTCAAATAAAAATTAGATCAATAGGCACGTTGTGCACGTGTCTTGTTAAGCAAGAAAAAAAACAACAACCACTGCAACATCGACAAATGAGCGGATATTTTATCTCAAGCAGTGCTTGTATTTGAATCAGAGCTCGTGTTTGGAGCTGAGCTCGTGATTTTGGAGCAGAGCACGTGTTCGGAGTACAGCTTATTAGTGGATTGGTGCTCGTGTTGGATGCAGAGCCGGTGCTTGGAGCTCGTGTGTGTTTGGTACAGAGCCAGTGCTTGGAACTCGTGTTTGGAGAGGAGCTCGTTTCTGGAGCAGAGTGGCCCGTGCTCGGGAAGAGTTCGAGTTTGGTTCGAGGAACTCTCGTGATATCATGAGGCGGACTCAGAGAATTATCAAACCACCTATTTATCTGGGGTATAATTCTGATTCGCAGCTCAGTGTTTCCAATACCAGCGGGTTTGAATTGGAAGACTTGTTATATCACAAGATAACAATGACCGCGTTAATGTTACACCGACAAGCAATGGCCGCACAGGATTAACTCAAGCCATGCAAGACCTGCAAATAGAAGATGTGCTACCAGAAACTGATCCGAATCTTGAAAGCCATGACGATGGAAGACATAATGATGGAAGCATTCGGTGCGTCACTTGACAAATCAACTTGTCTTGATCATTCGATTTGGACTGAAAGATGGGTGAAAAGTGTACAGTTGCCAAAAATACTATATACTTTGCCTAATGATAACATAGGTAGGAAGTACGTGGACCTCCTGACACATGAACTGAAGCTTTTTTTCTACCACTGCTGATTCCACTTCAGAAAGAGTTCTGGTGATGAGTCGTGTTTTGTTACAAACAGATCCAATGATCAAAACATCAAAGGACATTCGAACACTTATTGGACGGCGCATTGAAGACTGGAAGGAAAACAAATTCGACAAGTTGTTGGCGGAAGCAGTGAGATGTGGCAAAAAGAAACATATAAATCAAGATAATTTGGACGACAAACATGTCTCGAAAGTGTTTGCTTCAATAAAGATGAAAAGCAAAGTGAGAAGTGCTTTGCGTTGGCTCTCGGAGAGAGCCAGCGGGGGTCTGCTTGATCCGATGCAAGAGGTTAAGAAAGGTGTGACCGTTTTAGAGACTTTGAAGTCAAAGCATCCAGAGCCACACAAGTCAAATCTCTCTTCGCGATTGCAGGTGACAGTTTTACCCGACTTTGAAGATGTTATAATCAGTTCTGCTTCCATTGAAAAGACGACACATTCTTTGCAGGGCAGTTCGGGAGCTTCGGGAACAGATTCTGAGCATTGGCAGACGGTTTTATTACGTCATGCGGCTCACAGTTCACACTTGAGAGACGAAGTTGCAACTCTCGCCGCAAATATGTGCAATCAAATTTTACCATGGTCGAAAGTGCGAGCACTGGTTTCTGGAAGATTGATAGCGCTTGATAAATGTCCTGGCGTGCAACCTATTGGCATAGGCAAATGTCTACGGAGAATAATTTGCAAAAGTGTGGCTGAGTTCACAAAAATTGACCTTGAAGAAACAAGTTCGACTGATCAATTAGCTTGTGGGCTGAAAGCTGGCGTTGAAGGTGCAACTCATGCGCTCTCTGATGTTTCTGATGACAACAACAAAGATGGCTGTGGCATGCTGGTGATGAATGCATCAAATGCTTTCAACTCGCTCAATCGTGAAACAGCGTTGTGGAATGCTCGAATATTGTGGCCTAGATGTTCTAGATTTCTCTTCAATACTTACAGAGGCTTCGCGTCGCTTTTCGTTGCTGGCGCCGATGAAGTGATATACAGTAGGGAAGGAACAACACAGGGCGACCCACTGGCAATGTTCGTCTATGGTGTTTCACTTCTTCCCCTGATTCGGAAGTTAAAGGATCCGAACAAAGTGTTACAAAGTTTTTGTGATTCTGCGGCCATAGCAAAACTCAAGAAATTGGAGATATGGCTCAAAACTTTGATTGAGGAAGGTCCGGCCTTCGGTTACTTTCCAGAGCCTTCCAAAAGTTTTCTGGTTGTCGATAAACAATATGCTGAAGAAGCGCATCACATATTTGACAAGTACTCGATTACTATAGTGGAAGGGAAGAGGTTTTTGGGCGGTTTCATTGGAGACAGAAATGAGAAGGACATCTACCTGAAAAAGAAATAACTTGAATGGGTAGACAAAATTGAGAAACTTTCTTTTGTGGTAAAAACAGAACCACAATGAGCTTTATCAGGACTGACTAAATTCCTACATGCGGAATGGAATTTTTCCCATCGTGTTATGGGTGGCTCTAGTCAGCTTTTTCAACCGCTAGAGAACTTTTCTGATGGAGAAATTTTTACCTGCGATACTTGGAACTTCGTCAATTTCATCAATGGAGAGACGTCTCTTTTGTTTGCCAGCAAGAAAGGGTGGTCTTGGAGTGTCTAACCCAACCAGTTTCGCTGATGAGTCTTACAACACGTCACGGGAAGCAGTTACAGTTCTTTATGATGCTATTGTTGATCAGCACGGTTTTTCCCATGAAGACCACAGAAAGCAAATGTCTCGATCGCGGAAAAAACATCATCGAATAATGGAAGAAAAACATGAAGAGTTGTTGAGGAGTTATTGAATGAGCTACCAGCAGACCAAGTTCGCGCAGTAAAAAGAATCGATGAAGGAAGCTTGTCCGCTTGGCTGACAGCGTTACCGATTGCTGCAGAAAACTTTGATCTTTCGGAAGTGGAGTTTCGGGATGCATTGAGTGTCCGGTATAACAAAAACTTGATCGCTTCGCCTTTTTTTGTGATGGTTGCCAGTCACCATTCACCCTACGGCATAAGTTAGCGTGCAAAAAAGCTGGTCTCTTAAGTTTACGGCACAATGAGATTAGGGATGCTGTAGGCGACTTAGCTTCTTTAGTGTGGAAGGATGTACAGAGAGAGCCTGTTATTAGAGAATACAATCCGCAAGTTGAGACACCCGCATTAATTGCAGATTTGTTTTGTCGTGGAGTTTATGTTAGACAGGGAGGAGCGTCTTTTGATATTCGTGTCTCTGACACCGACGCCATCTCCTGTCAGAACAGAAGCCGCATTTTGTGTTTTGCACTCAGCAGAGGTTGAGAAAAAGATAAAAATATTCAGACGCGTGTCAGGAAAGACATATGAGGCCCAAGTGGAGGAGTCTTGGCTCAGACCATGATTTCTTATCCTAGAGAAATATTTACGGATGTTCTACAATGAAGAGAAATTGGCTTGAACCAAATAATTGACTAATTTAAAAAAATTAGATCATTTAGGTGTTTAATATTTACTCTTTGGTTTTTTAACCTAAAAATTTTTTTTTAAAATTATTTTTCAAACCAGTTCAATTACCAATAGTTGGGATAGGTTCATCTCGGGCGTCATTTTTATGCAAAACGAAAAGAATTAGCTGGAACTTGATGCCTTGGTAAAACTACTCGGAAAAATCACAAGCATAGTTTGAGTAAAATTTCATACTGCCAAAAAACACCAAGAACGCTTATTCGATACAAGTTATTAAGGTTAATACATTCAAGGACTCAGATTTGAAATTCTTCTCTGACTTCTTTTTGTAGAAAATTCTTTCAAACAAACTCCTAATTTCTGACAATATTTTCATCCAAATTTGAAACAAATAATTCAGCTGCAATTTTGAATCGATTTACACTTGGAGGAAAACTGAATGGAAGAAAACTGACGTTAAACAACTGACTTTCTCTCTTGGAAGAAAACTGACTTTAAACAACAACCCCGTACCCCCAACCATCCACAAAAAAAATTCAACTCCATTAGAAAAAAGTAGCCAAGTAACAGTCGGAATAAATTCAATGAACGCAAATAAACAGTAAAAAAAAGTGCTGATTAAGTATTTTTAAAATCTCAACTTCCGAATTTCAAAGAAAAAAACAGATGGTTTTAAACTTCTTCGAACTTCTAGAACCATTCATCGTCAACACTTTCTTTACAAAAAGTTACCCAAGTTGATAAAAGTCCTGGATCAATAGCTAATTTTTGTATTCTGCTGTGAGATGTGAAAACCAAAGCCCACTTTCGAAACTAGAAGTTGATCACGTTTTTGTGACCTTTACTATTTTGCTTTTCGATAACGGAAAGCTTCCATTAAAAGAAATCAAATGATTTAAAAATAAAATCAAGCGGCAAACCGCGAGAAATCAAAATAAAGCCTGATTAAAATTACAATTTTTCCTTAAGAAAATGAAAAAAAACTCGACCTATATAAGAATTAATGTATTGATTAAGCGTCTTTTGCGGAGCAATTTTTCTGTTTTTTGGCACAGCATAATTTAATCTCCGTCAATTTCAATAGGAAACAAATTTTTTGAACGAAAAAATGAGGGCGCACAAATTAGAATTTCTTTGCAAAACGTACAGGAAAAAACGAACACCTAAATGAGTAAAAATTCACTGTTTATCAAGAACAGATTTATCTCAAAAGCCCTATAGTTACTAATAGAAGCTGAACAGTAGCTGCAACAGAAAAAAGTAAGCAGAACTTATGCAAAAAGCACTGCTGAACTAATATTTCCCAGGTCAATCAAGTGAAACGGATGTCAAAGCTTAACCTATACTGAAATATCATGGCATATATTAGCAAGACCACCTTCGTTTCTGTTTTACGACAGATACTGCTTTTATCTCATAACAACTTTTAATTTGAAGCTGCTATTCATGCGCTTCTTCTGGTCACTAAAAATCTGTTTTAAAAGTCTGTAGAGAGCAAATAATGGTATGACACTCTCATCCGATCCATCGCAGTCCTAATCATACGAAATAACTGACCAATGAGATCGCCCTTTGATAACTAGTTAACCATTTTTTCAGTAGAACGTCAGCAAACATTCAACAATAACTACAGTGCTGATTTAAATTAACCGGACAAAACGCGTTAAACTTGAAATTTAAAACGCGTTTTTCTCAAACTGGGTTGAGTTTAGGTGAAAACTTATGAAGACAAAAATTGCTTAGAATTTTAGCAGAAATAATATGGTGTAATTTGTTTTGCAAAATTCGGGTCCAAAATTTTACCCCAAAAATGGGTCATTTTGGCTTTTCTTAGTTAATCAAAAATTACGCCAAAAATACCCAGTCGATCACAGACATAATAATATCACAGTGAGCCCCTTACGTAGCCCAACAAATTTTATGAAGGGTATTTTCTCCAAAAAAAATTGCAAATTGTTCAAAAACCGTTTTTAAATAAAAAGTTGGTATTTTATATAGTAAAAACGACCTTTTTTGTCTATCAAACAAAAATTAATTAACTTATACAATGTTTTGGAGATTATACCCTTCTTAAAGTTTGTTGGGCTACGTAAGGGGCTCACTTTGATATAATTATGTCTGTGATCGACTGGGTATTTTTGGCGTAATTTTTGATTAACTAAGAAAAGCCAAAATGACCCATTTTTGGGGTAAAATTTTGGACCCGAATTTCGCAAAACAAATTACACCATATTAATTCTGCTAAAATTCTAAGCAAGTTTTGTCTTCATAAGTTTTCACCTAAACTCAACCCAGTTTGAGAAAAACGCGTTTTAAATTTCAAATTTAACGCGTTTTGTCCGTTTAATTTAAATCAGCACTGTACTACCTACAGCTCATTCACCTGTTACCAATTTTGGGCCGTTTCAAATTTGCAAGGCTCCGAAAACGCTGACTTTCCCTGAAAATATTAATCTTTTTTCGCCATCAAGTTCGCAACTTAAAAAACTTATTTTTTGTTGATGCTAACGAAATTTCTTGAGATTAGTTATTCTTCTTGTCACAGATAGTACAAAATTTCTGCTGCAATTTGAAAATCTTTTTCAAAACAAACGCGTTAATAATTGTGCATTGTTTTCCGAACTTTTTTTTTCTGATTGCAGTAATAGGTTAGTAATTCAATATCGCCAATTTATCTCACCTTGTTTTTCACAATTAGATTGCGAGTTTATTCACTCCGAGATCTAAAAGAGTGAAATTATTCTCATCCGTGTGTTTCGACATTTAGTACGCAATTAGCATGCACTTAAAAAAGTGGAAAACTCCTATAAGTAATTTTATAAAACTGGTGACCGGGACAGGCAATTTGTTCAAGCATGCCCTCAAAGCTCCTGAAATTATCAAACCTCACATCTCGATTGAGAAAGCGCAGAAAAAATGAGTTAACTTAGAAATAAGGGTTAATGGCATGAAACGTAGAGTAGGAAAAGTTAAATTGAAAAATAGTTCAAGAATAATTCGACTTCATTATATAAAGTGCGGATACATAGAATAATAAACAAACGCGTTATTATCATAATAGGCGAGTTAAAATTTGAATTTCTTCATTTGTAAAATATTTCGAAATAGCTAAATGTCTTTCTAGAGCAGACAGACAAATGGATTTTTTCACTAACTTACGGCCAAAAAAAAAACATTTTTGAAATGAATTTATAACATTAATTTTTTTTTCGGCTTTGATTAGTTTTCACTAATCATTTTCAAGCATTATGCTCCATTATATAATTATTTAGAAAAACGAAATCTGGGCCGCATGTCAGAAAAGACCCAACTGGTTTGAATTGAATTCAAATTCATATTGCTCGTGATATGCCTTTAATGTGCACTCTTTTCGCAGGACAAGTATCAACTTACAGCCTTTCTCGACTTTTAACGTCGTGAACTACAAATGTTTATTTACAGCATCCAATGATGATAGCCATTTAAACGTACATGCTCGGATCTTGGCTTGGAGATCTCACATAAATTTTACGAATGATCGCGTTAATTTTAAATGTTAAGTAGCACCATAGCAGTATATTTGTCTATAACTTTTGATAGTTCTGCATTTTTCCATTTGTTTTACTATAGGTAAATGATTTTGGCAATGCACCTCTGAAAACTAAACACCCCATCATGAACGTTGGTTAACTATACCTTACTAGCATAGTTCGGAAATTGTTATCAAAAACGTCCCTGTAATGTTAATGAACACTTCAAACATCACAAGTTAGTCACTTCAAAAGCTCAAGCTAACTAAGAAGTTTCTACTCTTCGATTTCAAAATCTGAGGTAAAAGAGGAACAATTAATGCAACAAACAGACGAAGCGAATTAGGTGAGATTCAAAAGAAACAAACAACAAGCAACAGATTCAGTTTAGAGAGTTTAGTTTCAATTCTGCATCAGCAGCTGTGCTTTTGAGTTTTCACAACAGTAGTTTGAACAGATTTGAACGGAAGTAACGAACAGATGTTAGAACAAGAGGTGCAATCAGGCTACTAGCTTCTCACAAACCACCGAGGTCGAACGGGAGAGCGGGATTGAGTTGGGCACAGATTGGGTGAAACAAAGGAGGTAGGAGAAGACATGTATTCTAAACGTACTCTGCCAGTTTCTTTGAGTGTGTGTTGAATTGGCGTGCATTGGCTGCGTCTGCCTGTCTTTGCACCCACTTTTTGATCTCAGACACCACAAACACCGATGACGTCAGAGACACCAAGAAGAACAGATCTGAAATAAATAAAAGAAATTTGATCACGGAGTATCTTTTCAACAAACGCTAAGCACCAATTAGCATAGGTGAAAACGCAAAAAAAAATCTGAAGTTTCAAGAAAATTAGAACTTAGTCAACAGACAGTTGGGAAAAAGGGCCAAACTTCCCAAAAAACAAGCCAAAATTTTCAGAACAATTTAAGACCAGTCACCCTAACATGGATTTCTCAAAATATAACAAATGGGTGACCCTTTGGGTCGGAACCCTGAGAGGGGGGAGGGCGTTCACGCCCCTCCCCCTAAATCTGCTACCTTTACACAAGTGTTGTTCGATAGTGTAACTTGCAGGGTTACCACTTCGTTCAGATCAAAAATCTGACCACAGATATCATCAAAAAACTGACCATTTTGCTGACCTTTTTCATATCTGAACTACAACTATGAAAAAATTTTTGTGAACGTTTAACGTTGAATTTCAAGGAAATGTTTATTTAAACATCGTGGAAATGACATTATTGGAGTATTTTCACCATCTCTCTGAAAAACAAAAATGTGATTTTATGCCGAGTTTCTAGAAATAGAACCACTAGTAACAAGAAAAAAACAAGTATCATGGCAAATAAACATATATTCTGACTTTTTCTGACCTCCGACCAAATCTGACCATTTCTGACTGGTCAGAAAAATCTGACCAAGTGGTAACCCTGGTAAATTGCCTTCCTTAAAACAAAGGACGTGCAATATAAAAAATCAAACTGAATATAAAACTGAATATAAAAAAGTCAAAATTCAAACCGCAAAAACTCGAATTTTTGAGCGTGAACAATCTTTCTGAATAAAATTTGAAAAATTAAATCATCGAGACCCATAGAAGAGTCTTCGCTGCGTTCATTGGCTCTTAAAATTAAGCTATGGAAGGTTTTTTTGTGACTCGTAATTCGAAGACTCCGTGTTTGGATTCAAAGACCTTCGGCCTCGCAAGAAACACAATTGACTACTCCGCATGAAAGACAGCTTATCAACTCAGACTTTCATACATGATTGATCCAAGAAAAATTTTTTTTAAAAAAACTGGATATTCTTTTGATTTGAATAGCTAGGATTGGATGTGCCGTAAGTAAGCGGCCATAACTCACCTTGTTTAAACTATAGCTAACAGAAATGGCAAAAGGACGTCTGGTTTTCTTACCTTTTCGAGTTTCAAAGAACTACATTATTTTTATTTCTTCTTGACCTCTAAAAACTTGTTAAAGAGGCGAGGCGGAGCTTCGCATCACTTGTGATACAACACAAGCGCAGCATTGCAAGCTGGCAAATAGAAAAAGAGAGGGAAATGACAAAATCGAAAAATATTGAAAAAATGAAAATAATTTCAGAAAAACAGTTTTAAATAAACTTTTAGCATTTACCGAGCCGCCACTAAGCTCACAAAATGGGGGCTAAAGCCCATTGAGCCGAAAGCGAAAATGCTATAAGAACTTGTAGTCACAAAAAAAATTAAAGAACAAAAAAACACAAAAAAAACACTTACCACCTGACTTTTCAGAAAAAATCAATCCGTTTTTGCTTTTGAAGTGCCCTTAACACAAGGTGACACAGATGATGAAACAATAGCCGAATAAAGCTTTTAAGCGAAGAAATAAGGAAAATATTCAACTTCAGGGCTATTAATTTTACAAATTGCAGTAAATCAAAAACACTTGCATCTACGGCACAAGCAAATTGCTGACGGCACAAGAAAATCTCTGAATTAGACAACTGAGCCGACAAAAGATAGGCAGACAAAAAAATCCAATTCAATTTTTCTCGAAAGGAAAAAAGTTTAGTTCCTGCTTAAAAGACACTAGCTCTCACAAGTGTAAAAACACTTTTTGCAAGAAAAAAGCCATAGTAAAGAAAAATTGGGAGACTAAGGGATTCTAACCTAAACGCTGCTGATTATGAGAAATATCCTTAAGCTAACGCTCCATATGTTATCCTGTAAATTAACCATCAACAGCAATGAATGCACTAAAATTTGTCATATATAGGTCATGCTATCTAAAATCTTACACTGAAACTAAACTGTACACAGAAACTGAACACTGAATGCGCTCGTGGTTGGAAAAAAATCCCTCATTAAAACACGATGATTAAGTGTCTCTTGTGTACAGAACCACATGATATTCCCTTCGTTGATAGGCACAAATTCAGGTCTGCGGTTTCAACTTCATCTTAATGACAAGGCGACTTGAACAATTATTGTAACAGCTGCCGAAGAAAAAGGCAGACTATTTATGCTTGACGTGGTTTTTTATTGAGAACAAGTTTGATTTTGTAATTAACTGTTTTTCTATGCCATCTGAAAGATATTGATATTGTCCTTAGCTCCTTAGATATATTGTCCTTAGCTCAAACATGAAAAGATATTTCACCTGGGATCATCATCATCAAGTTATGGAGGTTTGATAATGCCAATTTCGAATAAATGGGCGCTTTCTGCCAGTTTTCTATTTTAACGCGTAACCTGTGCGGCGACACAAACCTTTCCAAATGATTTCAGGGATATTAGCTGTTTTGATTAACTTTTCTGGATAAGAAAACTATTAATTTCATCTACGTGGCATTGTGTTTGGGGATAGGATTCAACAAAATATACAAAAACAAAAATTATGATTTCAAAAATGCAGATACTTTAAGGACAGTAAGAACCTTATTATTGTTCCCACGTTCCAAGATAAAGAGGATTATAGATTCTTGTGGTGATTTTTTACTCGTTCTACTTTCCAAAAGAACAATTGTTGAGCAAGACGGATCGATCCCTGGAGCTTCGTTTACCCAGAGAGGACGCGCACACTACACTGCTATACTAACCTACCTCTATGACGCCCTGAAACGAGTCTATCTGAACTGCTCGTTTAATAATTTGATGCCTGAAATGTAACGCGATTTATTTATGCGTGTCGAATTATCCCGCCCTTCAAAATCAATCAAAAATGAGTTGAGGCAAGCTAATTGGCCTTATTAATTCCATGTATAACTCAAATTTTACAAAGAGGCGAAATGGAGCTTCGCACCACTTGCGATACAACACGAAATTAAGAACATTACAATCGAAAAAAAATGAGAAAAAGTGGAAAACTAACTAGGTTTTGGTAGTGGTATTTTTATGTGTCTCAATAGAAGTTTTTTCTAGGCTAACATGCCAGACATTTGAATATTAAAAAAGCAACATAACAAAATAAGCAGACACAAGTTGAGTCGAAAAAAATGGATTTATAATAAAAAAAGTTTAAAGTCCCACCTGAAACTACAATGAGCACCACTTGCAACTACATTGAAAATTGCTTTTATCACAAGAAAAATAAAACCAGTGGTATGGAACATAAGTCGACAATCTTTGAGCAGCCACCAGTTGAACCAAAATATGTGATTTTTTGAAATTTTCAAAAATCTTTGAAGTCCCCCTTAAACTAGAATGAACAACAATTGTACCTGCAACTACAATGAATGTTGCTTAAAGCACAAGAAAAATTAGTGATGTGGCAACTAAGCCGCCAAGCTTTGACCAGACACCAACTGAACCGAAAAAAAAATCAACTCGCCCCCTGAAAATAGAATGAAAAACACTTGCACCTGCTAAGCAAATTGCTTACAGCACACGAAAAAACCATTATGTGCCAACTTAGCCGAAAGCACTTGAGCAGACAAACGAAAGTCCGACAATTCAATTTTGATTGAATTTTTTTTATTGGAGTTTTTAAGTTGCAACATAATAACCAGAAAAAAACTACTTGTATTCAAATTTCGAAATTCAAAAAAAAACAGATACCCTTAAAGCTCATTGAATTTCCAGAACAATTTATGACTGCACTTTTTAAATAAAATTGACCAAATTTGAGAAAACTGGATCAAAATGGTAAAAAATTTTTTATTTCGCTGGGAAATTTGAAAATTAAATTCCACTTTCGAAACTTAAGTCGATCACGTTTTTCATGACCTTCACAATTTCGCTGTTCGAAAGTCAAGTTTGCCTTCCTTTTAATAAAGGAAATGAACAAATTTAAAAAGAAATCAAAAATCAAACTGTGAGAAAGTGAATTAGAGCCTGAACAAACTTTAAGACTTTCCTGAAAAAAAATGAAAAAATCATCGCGACCAATATAAGTCTAAACTACGTTCATCGAGTCTTACTAATTAAAAACACATCCGGCCAGGACTCGAACCCCGTCCAGGACTCGAAGAGAAGAGAAAGAGAGACTCAACCTCGTCCAGAACTCGTAGTTCCCGGTTACAAGACACTTGCTCTCGCAAGTTTAAACACTTAATTATTGATATTTTCAGCCCAAAATTCATAGTTTGTCAATATTTCATTTTCCAAACACTTAACTATTCCAGAGCAGTTAAAGGGCAGTTGGAAGCCTCGGGGCTTTACCTTGATATACGAGCATTTGTCCATATTATTGACAGGATGCAAGGCAATCAGCTCACTTAAACAAACAAGCTTACTCAAGTAAATTTTGGTTGCATGTTTTTGCCACGTTTTAATATTGGTTCATAAAATAACATTTCGCTTCGCTTGTGTGATGCTGAACAGTTCGAAGATGATCATCTTAGCGTAACATAAGTATTGATTCTGTGAGCATCTGTGTACCTGAGAAATAGAGTGCCTCCGTCTGGAAGATTCTCTGGGCAGGTGGGAAGTAGATGACTGCAAACTGTCCCGCTAGAGACAAACCCACTGCCAGCAGGAAGGGCTTGTTGTTGAAAAAGCCTATCTGGAAAATCGATTTCGTCTGAAACACACAGCGGAAATGAGTGAACTGATATCTATCGTCGATAATCCGAATATATATTTCAAAATTTCCAGTATAGAAGTTTCAGTAAAAAAAAAAGAAACTACCATTTTCAGCGATCGCGCCAAAGAATAACATAATGCTACAATTTGTTTCAACAATTCAATAAAGCCATAATTAGTTGCGTACCGGGGGGGGGGGGGTATCCATTCCCTGTAAATTCTGGCTTCCCGATTTTCCCAATTTCACAACAACCATTTGGTACAATTTCACAACCATTTCTGGCTGACAACCCCATCGGTGACAACTTGTACTAAATTTGAGGAGGAAGAAAGTACCCAAAAAATGAGTCAAAATGTTGAGTTAACTAGATAAAAAAGAGTCAGCTCCAAGATACTATTTGTCTTCATTCCTGACCTGTGAGCGACAACTGAGTGCGTTGAACATGTCGAAGAATACAAAGCAGGTGAAGGTCATAGTAGTGTCACGAGGGGTCATCTCATTGTCACTCATCTAAACGCCACACAAACATATCGAACATTTACAAATCACCATTTTTCAAGTTTACAAAAAGTTACCGAATTTAAACAGTCCATTGTTTAGAAGTGCTTAGTGTTCTGAGTAATTAAATCCCAGTATTTCCATGAAAAAGATACGCTTTGAGCTCTTGAATTTAAAGAACCCAATTTGAGAAAACTACCTCTACATGTGTTTTTATACAGCCAAAACTACGACACGGGGAGGGACGGTAAAACAGGACAGAACCCTTCCACGAACCTCACGCATGAATACGTAGAGAGTGCCAACTACAATTATGAGTGCGGAGATGAGGACGTTGGTGATGAGGTGTCGGGTGATGATGGGGTCCTGCACCCTTCGAGGGGGACACTTGATCACGTCAGTATCCACCGGCTCCACGCCCAGACTACACAACACAACTTCGTCATTATAATTACCGAATAAGCATAAATAAAAGGACATGAGTTGAAAAGAACAAAGAACGCGAAAAAGATTGGTTGAATTTTTTTCCACTGAAAATCAGGAAATTAAAGCTCCATTTTTTCACAGAGGCGAAGCTGCTCTTCGCAAGCACTAACGAGAATACGACTAAGAAGCAGCTATATAAAGAGTGAAATAAGAAAGTATAAATAAACCTTGAAATTAAAAAAAAATGCGGCTACGTATCGGTTTCGATGCCGCGATCTAGAGATTATGAGCGCATCTGTGTTCGTTGAATCCGTTAATATGAGCTTCAAACAAAGAAAACTTCCGAAAAAGTTGCTATTGTGAAGTTTATTGGAAAATAGATAGTTATAGGGAAAAACAACAGAAAAGTTGGAAATAGTTGTTTTTAGTTGCTAAAACTATTATCCGCTCCCTGCTCATGAACTAACCACTCAGCAACGGACGCTTAAAAATCACAAACACTAGCCACAAATAAAGCAGAGAACAGATGCTATGAAATTTCCAAAGCTACAGATCGTGATTACAGCAAAAGTTCCACCAAATAAGCACTTTTAAGTTAAGTTGGAAAAAAGAAGGTTCGAAGGTTCGTAATATTACACTACTCTCAAAAGCTCGTTGGTGCAAAAACTAGGTCATTCACATTTTTCGAGACCTACGAGAAAGTGAAAAAAGCAAAAAAAGCGGTAAATATAGTTTTAAAAATACCCAACAGACAATTGGAATTGAGTCAATGAACTTAAGTAAACAAAAAAAAAAACGCTGCCTTGTTTTTTGGGAAAAATCTCAATTTTCGAATTTCGAAGAAATAGATGGTCTTAGAGCTCTTTGAATTTCTAGAGCAATTTTTATTGACACTTTTTTAGCTAGGAAATCCGCAAATTAAATTTAATGATCTTTACACTTAAGCTGTTTGATATTAGTGTTTTTCTTGCTTTTAACAAAGGAAATGAATTGAACTTCAAGCCGCTTCAAAGATATCAAAAGTCAAATCGCGAAAAAGTAATTTTGAGCTTGAACAAATTGTAAGAATTTTCCTGAAAAATGAAAACAAAAAAAATATTCACGACTTACATAAGAGTCTGAACTACGTTCAACAATCTTAATGTTTATAACTGTAATAGAATTAACTTTGGGAGGAGGTCAGCATCTCGTGAAATTTCGTTTAGCTTCTCTTGACTCTGAGACAACTTTTTTAAACCACGACCAATAGAACTTGTTACACACTTCGAGCTTTCTGTGAGGTAGTCAAAATTTGCTAGAAAAAGGGCCCTTCTTCAGAGTTCCTTCCAGACAGTTTCAGTGACATGGTCGGAACAATAACCAAGTTTCTATTTCCCGCCTATATTTAGGCAGGCGATAATTTCATCAATCCTTGGAAAAAAGCACGAGTTTATCAAAAATGGCTATTTTTTGACGTTAAAGTAGAAAAAGTCTCCTTTTGAACATATATTAGATACAGAAAAAGCTGCACAAAAGCCAAAAAACGAGCCTTAAACAAGAGTATTTCGGCGGACATCAATAAATCATTTATAAAAAGGCTGCCTACGGGATTCGACTTATGGATCTCCTTCTTATGACTATCTGGTCCCGTCACCGCTTCATCAGACCTTGCTGCCTTACATAGTAAAAACATCATTCCATATAGAATAACAAGCAAAAGTCAGAGCTTTATAAAGCGGATAAAATATTTGCCACTAAATACGGATACATACAGAGCTTGGCACACCTTGCGATACAAAAGTATATTCCAGTATTCGGGTGTAGAAAATGACAGTAAAAAAACTGCGACTATTTTCACATTTTTTCAAATAGTAAATGTGTTTTAAGAGTAGGCCCAATCCAGCCATTCTCTAACACACTTTTGATTCCACTTATGATTGATGAAAGCCCATTTGACAAACTCAAACACAGAGTCGAAGCTGTGCTTCGCAAACACTTGCGAGAACACGACCAAAAAGCAGCTCTATCAAGAGACAAGAAAAAGTAGAAATAAGCCTCGAATTTGAAAAAAAACTCGAGGCTTAGCAAAAACTCCAATTAGCAAAAATCTGCGATCTAGCCAATTCGAGTCTCACGCACTAACCATTCAGCCATGGATGCTTAAAATCCCCAAAAACTAGCCACCAATTACGTAGCTATACATGCTAATAAAATGCCAATTCGATGCAGCAAAAGTAGCACCAAATACAAAAAGATACAATTTTGCATGTAATAAATCGCAAATCATAAAGCCACATTAAGTATAAGCTATGCATTTCACTTATAACGATTCGAATGTCAAAGCTCATGTTATCAAAAAGCTGTAAAGGTGCAACAAATTGCTAATCATTTTGTATTGCTAATTCGATGCAGCAAATATTGTTGCTTTAAGTCGCAACAATATTTGTCAATTAGGTTGGAAAAAAAGAAAGTTCGTTATATAACACGTTGCTTCGCAAGTGTAAATATGCAAAGGAATCATTTGTGAAAACCGGATTTTTTTTGCGAACACAAGATCATCAAGATTTGGTTGCGCAAGTGTCAAAATGAACGAATCTATTAATTACTTTCTAGTTAATAAGAGGAGACTTAAGTGAAAAAAATACGAAGGCCAGTGTCATCCGCCTTGAAATCTTTTCGCTTTTTCTTGCAATTGAAAAATCCGTTCTGGAAATGAAAAATCTTTCGATGTATTCCTTAATGGTGTAGATAACTGAGATTTTTTTAGATAATTCTATTTTTTATACAACTTTTTTGTGAAGTTTTTCTCCTTCACTTAATTCTCTAATTAGTCACGAAAAAAGTTTTCACAAAAAAAAGTTTGAGAAAAAAAGAGCAAGATTTTAGGGAACTCTATTATTATCCATTAGGGAATACATCGAAAAAATTCACAATTATATAAAAGATTTTTCAGTTGCAAAAAATCGAAATGGTTTTTCAAGACCGAAGACACTGGGACCTCTCCAACTGTGACCCAATTGGGCATTTGTGCCGCGCTTCTTACCCATCGTCCACAGGGCCAAATGTTCAGAAAAGAGCTGAATTTGAATTTGTTATAAATCAGGATATCAAACTATTCAGTGATTGCATTACTCTAAGCTTTAATCTGAAAAAAGTGTTATCCGATTTGATATTGCAGGTTAACCGCACCCGTAGGACATTCAACGCAAAATTGAACCACTTTGTTTGGAAAAAAAGTGAACTGATATTCTAACTCATGCCTTTGCGTGTGTAATTAAAATTAGAAATTTTTGATTTCTTACCTTTGTGCAGGAGGTCCATCCATTATGATGTTGATCCAGAGAATCTGCATTGCGTTCAGAGGATTGGGTATCTGCAGGATAGTCGAGGTAGCGATCAGAGTCAGGGCAGCGATGCTTCTAAAAAAAGTTACTCTCAATTCTAAAAGAAATCCCAATTGTAACTTACATTCGCAATACAGGCATCAAATTGATAATTCTTAGAAGGTATAGAAGGTAATACAGAATAGTTCGTTGTTCTAGTTGTCTTACGTGCTGAGTTGGAAGCGAACGAAGTTCTTGATGTTGTAGAAGATTCCCTTTCCCTCTTCAACTGCACTCCTTAAACATCCGAGTTTATGCCACAGGAACGGAAAAGAAACTCCTGATTCAAGTTTATGTCTGACCAATGGACTTCTTTACTAATAAAAAAAATTGTTTCCAAACGATATTTCTGAGTTATTTATAAAAAAATTTACAAATACAACTTGGAATTGCATGGGAGAACATCATTAAGCCAGCACGACCCGTTTCCAGGTGTCTCATTAAGCGTAGAACAAAACCGCCTCCTATCACATTAAAAAAATCTGCCCACCTCTCAAATGGGCTAATACAACGGTTCAGCATTTGCGAATTATGTACCTAGCAATTAATCCCCCTTCAGCAATACGAGTGGGTTAAAAAGAATTTAACCAAAAACTTCTGAATTTTTTTCTCTTTATTTCGGAAGCAATTGCCAAGTTCAGAGGACCACTCATTGCACAAAAACTCGAAGATTGATGTACAATAGTTGAGAAATTTTTAGGACACAAATTTTGCGAACAGGAAACATATTCCGAACAGATATATAAGACACCTTTCAACTTACAAAATAGTGGAGAAGTCATCGTCCACAAGAATCATATCCGCTGCCTCCTTTGACACGTCAGTACCAGTCTTGCCCATTGAGATCCCAATATCGGCCTGTTTGAGTGCCACGGCGTCATTCACCCCGTCCCCTGTCATGCCGACCATGTAGTCCAGACCCTGCAGTGCCTCCACTATCTTCAGCTTGTGCCTCGGATTCACCCGGTAGAACACCGCAACGTTGTCTATGATTTCGCCCAGCTCCTTACTGCTCAGCCGCTCCACTTCGTCTCCAGACATACACTTGCCGATGCCGCCCAAAATCCCCAAAGTTGAGGCTACAAAACAAATAAGTTAATTCGATTAACGCCTAATTTGATCTATCTAATTTCAGCAATTGGCTCATCAGCAACCGTGAAGAGGTAAATAAACTCATCAAATCGAAAAACTAACCATATTGTCTGAAGTCAAAAACATAGTCAGCCATGAGACAATTGGAAAAGGATTTATGCATTGCACTCAACGAAGCGGATAAAAAAAGATTTTTTTTTGAAAATTGCTCCACTTTCCAACAAATCTTTATATCATCTTAAAGCTCTTTCAACTTCAAAAACCTTTTATGATTGAGACCGATGCTTTTATTGATAAAACTAACAATACGAGAGAATGATTTCTTCTTCTTGTACATAGGAAAATTAAAATGTGATAGAATTTAAGTAACAAAAATGGATTTTAATTTTCACATCCGCTAATCACATTTTTCCGCGCCATGAGCTTTTTTGCTACTTGAGAGTGTAATTTGCCTTCCTTTTCGGAACTTAGAAAAAGATCAAAAGTCAAGCTGCGGAAAAAAAAACAAATTGGCCACTGAAAGAAAACTCAATCAATTGCTGACTGATCAAGGAAAAAATGCAATCAACTTTTTTCTGCAAATTAAAGTAATAAATTAAATTTTGAATCTAAATGTCAAATTCCATATTTGATGCCCTTTGCACGGAATCGGAGCGCGTGATATTCCCACTATTTACAAAATGAACCAAACTCGAACCTGAAAAAAACACCATAAATCAAAGACACCTTTCAAACCTATAATTTAACGAAAAAAAACAAAGAACTCGAACCAAAAAATGGAAAAGAGTCAATGAACTTAATTAAGCAGAAAAAAATACTGATGTTTTGAAAAAAAAAATCACTTCTTTCGAATTTCAAAGAAAAAAAAACAGCTGGCCTTAAATCTCTTCGAATTTCTAGATCAATTAAAATTTGACATGTATTTTCATTAATTTCACCAATTTGAAAAAAACTGATCAAGAGGTAAATTTGACATTTAACAATCTACAAATATATCAAAAAATCAAAAAACATAGCCGACAATATTGGGATTATTTACGCTCGAGCTGGTTTTTTTATTCAGCCAATTTTAAACTATGCGTGTTTGTTCCCCTGAATTAAAAAAAATATATATATATTTTACATGCGATCATTTTTCGCAAAATTGCGGAGGTTTGAAATTGTAAATATGCGATAATTAACGCGTAATATACTGCGTTCTTAAAACACGTGTAAGCAGCGAATTAAAGCGTTCTAAATTGAATTGAGGCCAGCAATTTAGTCCTATAAAAACAATACGAGACGCTAAACACACCCCTTGTATTTCAGTGTGTGTGTGTGTGGGGGGGGGGGATAATACGAAAAAAAATTAAAAAGCCCCCTTTTCGATTATTTCTTCAACTCTTCAGCCAAAATTGTTTAATTTACCTTAAAGTCCAGTCGGAACATTCAGGGCACAGCCTTGATAAACGAATAAACGAGCTCTACCTTTCAAGAACAATTTAGAACTGACATTTTTTTGATAAATTAACCCAATTTGAGAAATCTGGATTTTGTTTTTTAAATTATATTACGATGGGAAACCTAAATAAAAAAAATTCACTTTTGAAATTGAGTCATTCATAACTTAACAGACCATTTCAAAATGAAAACTCAAACTCAACTTATTACTTAACAACAGCCATTTTTTTTGGAAAAACTTCAACTTTCTAATTTCAAAGTGAAAAATATAATTTTTGCTCTTTGAATTTCAGAAAAAATTTATGGTTGAAACTTTTTTGATAAAAAATAACTCAATTTGAGAAAACTGGATCAAATGGTAAAGTTTTATTCTGCTGGGAAATCTGAAAAAAAAACTCACTTTCGAAATTAGAATCCGATCACGTTTTTGTGACCTTTACACTTGTGCTGCTCGAAAGTTGAGTTTGCCTTCCATCTATAAGGGAAATGAACTGAACTTTAAAAGAATTCAAAACTAACACCGCAAAAATCAAATTTGAGCGTGAACTAACTTCAGGCCTTTTCTTTAAAAAAACATCAAGACCTTTATAAGTCTTCATTTATGTTCATCGACTGTCAATAAAATACACTATTCCGAATAGTTACACAGAAGTGAAGCTTCGCTTTGCAAACACTAGCGAGAACACGACAAAAACGCAGCTATATGAAGTGAATCACGAAAAGATAGAATTAAGCCTCGAATTAGTAAATCTTTGCTATGTATGTGCTTCAAACCTGCGACCTAGAGAATTGGGATCTCACGCCCTGCCCTCTCGGTCACGAACGCTTAATTAATGACAAACACTAGCCATAAATAAAGCAGAGAATAGATGCTATGCAAACTCCAATGCTACAGTGAAAATTTCATCAAAACGAACACTTTCAATGAACATTTTTATTCGCGAGTTAGGTTCGTACTAATACACTAACGCTCGCAAGCTCGCTAATGTAATGAACAAATTTTACTTCCTGAAAAATTCAAAAAAACTGCAGGAATTCAATAAGTGATTGATCTCAGTTCATCCACAATAAAAGAAACAAAATAAACACATCCTAATACAAATTTCCTCCCCATTTTCAATGGTCGGAACAGTTAACAAAACTAACCAACAGATTTGGCCGTTTCTTCCGCGTCTCCCGTCAACATCTTCACTCTGACTCCAGATGATCTCAGCGTATCTATTGCCTGTTTAACTCCAGGTCTCGGAGGATCATGGATACCCACTAAACCTAGCAGAGTCAGCTTGCCCAGGTCGGTACCAGTAGCCACAGCCACTACCCTCAGGCCCCTGGATCCCAGTTCCTTGGACTGCTGGATGTACTCTTGGGTGTTATGACTAGTTATAGGCACTGGGTTGTTAGCTTGCAGTGTGTGCGTGCATTGTGTGAGCACCTTTTCTAAGGCTCCTTTCATGAACAGTATCTCCTCTTCCTGAAACATTCTCGACTCAGAAAACTGACAAATTGATTTTTCACTCTCCTCACATCTTTTGAATAAAAATGTTATCATAAGGAAGGGAAGGTTAGCGCGATGAAGAAACAATCTTGCCACACTTGTTTTTTTATACATTAATTCCATGAAACTACATTAATCGGACGCAATTGAATTAATTCATTGAAAGCCTTTTTGCATTTTTCCTCCAAAGGCGAGCGAATCAAAGACGCGAAAATTTTCAATTTTTCGCGAGAGTTTCACTTCAAAATCTCGCGAAAAATATCTTTGTCTCAGTTTGGGTAAACATTCTGACTAACTGTGTTGACGTATATTCCTTTGACCGCCATCCACTTGTTCTCGGAACTGAAGGGGTACTCGAAGGTGCGTCGGAACAGCAGTCTGGGATCTCCCAGTCCATACTTCTTGCCTAAGGCCAGCATCGCCCCCTCAGTAGGGGTACCCAGCAGAGCACCATCTTTGAAGTCCGCATCGTTGCACAGACACGACGCCTAAACAGAAAAAATCTATTCACACTGACTGATGATAAACCACTTGTTTTGGAAAACTGAACGCCCACTAAACGAATAAATTCAGACAATACAGAGATTGGTCCTTCATTAAAGCTTGGTTTGGTGCAATTTAGTGTTACTGCTAAGTAACATATTCCTAAAAAGTCTTTCAACACAATTGTAATTGAAAACTTTTTCTAAGCGAAACCATGTATCAACCGTACAATATCCCCCAAAATTGATTTGGGGGAGGGGTGAACATGGATTTATCAGAAACTACATTTGAGTATAGCCTTAGATTGATACAAATTTTCAACAGTTTTTAACAAGAAAATTAATTGAAAGTACATTAATTTAGGTCATAAACAGAATTCACATACAATCACATATAAACATTGAGAAAACCAACTTTGTTTGAGCGTTTCGTTCGAAATACATACTTTATAATAATTATTTTCCAGAATTAATACATGCTTGGGGAGCCAAAGCTTTTAGAACACTTATCCCTGTTGCCAAAATTATGATAAAAATTATTATTATGTCACTTATCCTTTCATGTTCAAAATTATGATAAAAAGTCCAATTTAAATACCTGAATGAGTTTCGTTAAGGACGGGTACGTCTTAGAGTCCTTGATTGCCTCTTGATTCACGTACACAGCCCCTTCGTGCGAGTAGCCGACGCCCTCCGTTTCGGCTGTGACTCCGTCCGAAGTGTAGATTGTCGTAACTGTCATTTCATTCATAGTCAGGGTTCCTGTCTTGTCGGAGCAGATGACGTTGACACAGCCTAGTGATTCGACAGTTGGCAGTTTCTTCACGATTGCGTTTCGATTGGCCATTCGCATTGTGCCTAGAGCCAGTGTGACTGTGACGACGATTGGCAGACCCTCGGGAATCGCAGCAACGGCTAAGCTGCAAAGAAAATTACAAGTAAAAGCTTGAAACAATTCGAATATTTAATGGTGGCTACATTGGATTTGAATTGGAGCTACTAACATTAACGGAAGTACTTAGTTTTGTGGTTAATAAAAACTTAATAATCAACAATTAATACAGAGGCGGAGCGGATCATCGCATCACTTGCCATACAAAAAAAGCATAGCATTGCAAGCTAGCAAACACAGCCAACAGACAGTTGGAAAAGAGTCAATGAACGCAAGTGAGCAGAAAAAAAAAGTTATTTTTTTGAAGAAAAAAAAATTTTTTTTTGAAACTTTCGATTTTCAAAGAAAAAATAGATGGCCTTGAAGTCTTTTGCGTTTCTAGAACAATTTATGATTGACATTTTTTGATAAATCGCAGGTGTAATAAAAATTAACCCAATTTGAGAAAACTGGATCAATAAGTAACTTTTTCTGAAAACTCGAAAATAGAAGTCGATCACGTTTTCCGTGACCTTTAAACGATTGCTGTTCAATCAAGGATTTGCCCTCCTTTTAGCAAAGGAAGTGAACTTTTTTAACTTAAAAATAAATCAAAATTCAAACCGCAAGAGAAAGTAAATTTGAGCCTAAACAAATTATAAGGCTTTTCCTAAAAAAAAATTAAAAAAACCATCACGACCTATAGTAGATTCTTAATTATATTCGTCGACTCTTAAAAAAGCCACCACAGCCGACCTGAATTAATTGAAAATAACAATTTTCTGCTCTTCATGCAGCGCAAAATAGGTTTACTGAGTCGATATAGCATAAGCCGAAACCATGCTAGCCGAATGAAGAATTCAAGTGAAAAAAGGAAAATAAGAACAGCCAGGGTTAATAAATTTTAAATTCCAGGAGAAAATCAACAATATATGCAATTACAGTGAAAAGAGCTTACAGCACAAGAAAAATCAGTGATTGGAAGTTAAAAAGGTTCACTAATAGAGCAAGCTCAATTTCTACCAAAGATGTAAGAAAAATCGGTAACGTGGAAAAAGCTTAGTTCCCGATTACATGACATTTACTCTCGGAAGTAAAACAATATCTGAAACGAATTTTACGACGGCAAAATCATCGCATTTTTTTACTGGTGAAACTCTAAACAAGTTTGTGCTTTACCTGACTCCAACAGTGAACATCTCCAGAATGGGTCGTTTCTGGATCCAGCCGATTAGCACAATCACGCCTAAAGAGATAAGAAAAATATTATAATTAGTACAGTACAGATAACAAATAACACACATACATCGGTATCTAGAATATCATGCATAGCCCATATGTATTCATGGCTTCGAACAAATTCAGGAGCTTATCAAGCATTTTCTCGAGACTTTTTCTGGTCAACTTTGACTAAAAATTCTCGCTGTGGCGCAGTATTCTTTCTAAAATAATATGTAATATCGCGGGGTCGGGGTAGTCCCGTAAGTTTATTTGCACAATTTTGAATTAGGCTTTGCCAATTTTATATTAATTGAAACACCTACCATACGTCTTGCAAGATTTTGTTCATGATTTCCTGTAATGAAACACTTGTACAGCCAACTCCAAATTAGGCAAAATTAATAATTTATCCAGTGTTTCAGACCACAACGGGCACCTTTTGCAGTTATCAGCCGAAACTGCAAACCATTCATTTCTTCAGCTAAAGGGATTGAATTGCATGAGCATGATAATCTTCCCAGCGTTTTCACAAAACTTATTACGTAACAAAATTTCAACCTCAGAAAGAACATTTTATAAAAGGACAATTTATAGACGAAGGTATTGGATTCCGCTGGAAATCCCTGGTAGGCGTAATAGACCGAAACTTCGAACCAAACTCAAATCTCACATATTTCAGGTATAAAACGAACGAAATATGGTGTTGCATTTTGGCAATTTGTTATTGATCAGTAGCTGTGTTGTTATGAATACGCGCAAGAAGTCTCTTTGATAACATTTAACAATAGCGTTTCGGCAAAAACTTCAGGTTGGTTAGAAATTGCAGAGCTAGTTTATTAAACAACTGAAACTTATTATATTCAAGTAGTCGGGGAGCCCAACTTCAAGGTCAAGTTTTGTCCGCATGCGCATAATTCCGGTTGTAGCACAATTAATAGAACATTGAATAACAAAAGACCACTAGTCAGCTCGATTCCACCTAGATTGAAACGAGTTATTGAACCGAGAACTCATATTCTTAAGTATATCTATTAAATACGAAACGCCTTATTTTATCAACAAAGCTCTAAACTCTAAATCCAACTATCATAAAAATACAAAAACTACATGTAATTTTTCAAAAGTGTGTTTTTTCATTGAATAGAAACTTTGGTATCAACTGAGTGATAAAAATCAGAACATTTCCAATCGCGCCTTTAGGTTGAAGTGAACATCATATAGACTACAGGGGGTCATACTACTCATATGGGAACTAACCAATGATGAGCATGGAGTAAAGCGACAACTGCTGTCCTAGGGTGTCCATAGTCTTCTGCAGGGGAGTCTTAGGGGGCTCCACATCGTGCATGAGCTTGAATATCTCCCCGAATTGCGTGTTCTCTCCTGTCCCAATCACGATACCCTAAAAAGATCATATCTAATCTTCAATCTCCAGTCAATTCGAAACGAACTTGCTTTTCGCTGATGTACTATATGTATCTCTAAATGTTCAATTGGAGATTTTCTAATAGTTGAACCAAGTGCGTCGAAAGAAATCGTCACAGAACATTGGGGAGAAGGAGAGCTATGAAACACCAGCTATATAGAAAAGCAAAAATTAAACTCGAAATGAAATATATATTCGTCAAGTAAAATTTCGATTTCGCTACGAAATCTGAAACTTAAATTTCACTTTCGAAACTACACTTTTGCTGTTCGATAGTGGAGTTTGCCTTCCTTTTAACAATGGAAGTAAATTGAACTTAAAAAGAAATTAAAAGCCAAACCGCGAAAAAGTAAGCTTGAGCCTGAACAAATTTCCTGACTTTTCCTGAAAAAAAAACAAACAAAAAAATCATCGCGACTTATATAAGAGTCTGAACTACGTTCATCGACTCTTAATCACCTCAAGCGTAAGAATTTCACTGACTACATTACGAACCTCATTTCATATTCAATCTAAACTGTAGTTAACGCCACCCAAATTTTACTATATAGCCAATTTTGAGCATAAAAAATCCGTTTTGAGCATTGTAGAACTTTTTTCTGCCCGAACTCCCCCTTCAATGCTAGTCAATATTTGCGCGAAAGGCGCCTTTAGAATTATTTAAGAGTCGCTCAGCCAAAATGGATGCCATAAAAGTTCCAAAGCAAAGAGGAACCTTTGGGTAGTCAAGGAGTTAATTTCTTCAAAGAGTACAACACTCCCTCCATTAAAGCCAGTATTGCATACGAGACCAATTTTTTCCCATTTGACCACATAAAACCGAGTCAGAAAAGTCTTATTTGTCTAAGAATCATTTTTCTTTACCAAGAAAGATGCTTTACCAAGGTCACCAGTTTTACCGATAACTTTTAATTAAATTAATGATACAAACTTCAGTGAGTTAACTGACCTTTGCCTTTCCTGTCCTGACTAGGGTTCCCATGAAAGCGACTGTTGAGAGTGCCTTCTTGTCCCCCTCTGAGACTTCGCTGCCTGCCACGTGGTAAGTGTTGTCTACCGCATTCACAGGAACCTCCGCACTCTTATACACAGGCTCGTTCTCACCTAAACCAGTTAATGGGCAATCATAAACATCGGAGAACATGTCTCTGTGACTTAACAAATTCAGCCACCAGCAAAAAAATGTTGCTCTGTTATCGTTCTGACAATTTGAAGAATGCGGCGGAACATTGTATTCGGGGGGTTTAGTTTTTTTCCACGAAAAATCAGGTAACACAAATAATCATCGGAAAGGGTCGAGTGATATTTGTTATTAAGGCCCTTTCAGTCGTGATAGGCAAGCAGGCCTATTTTAAAATTGAAACCTAAATTTTATCACATATAATCATCAGAAAGGGCTGAGTGACATATCATATTGAAGCTCTTTCAATCCTGATTCGAATGCAGAGAAAAATTTTCGTTTCGAGAAAAATCTGTTAGATCTTTTTTTTAGTTTTAGTCTAAATCGAGTCCAATTAGAAATTGGGTCTTAGTCTAATTTCGAACAATTAAAGCCACCGAGTAGGCTTATTAATGAAAGATAAGCCATGAAATGTTAGTAACACTATTTTTTGAAGTTTTTTAGCTCCATTTTTCGGATAAAAAATCAAAATTCAAAACAACTTCTGCGCAAAAAAATACAATGAAAATTTTGAACAATTTTTTTTCTAGTCATTTTTCGACAAAAACCTTTTCCCGATTTGCGTTTTTTACTGAGACTGTCAAATATACCTAATTTCCAGGTTTTCTTCAGATCCTTCCATCACACCACGCGCAAAAACATAACTAATTTGAAAACAAAAAAAAACACGATAACTAATTTTTAGGTATTTTTTTTAAATATCGTCGGAAAACTCTGTGCTACTTACACAGCAACCGTCTATCCTTGTTTTACTTCGAATCTGTCTCAGATGATCGTCAAAAGCAAAATCTTGAGAACTACTTTTCTGATAAACCTAAACCAAAATGAGAACAATAGGAAAAGTTTTTATTCCACTGGAAAATCTTATAAAAATCCACTTTCGAAGCTAGAAGTTGATCACTTTTTCTCAATTTTTACTTTTTGGCTGTTTTAGTGGAGTTTGCCTTGATTTTATCAAAGAAAATGAACTGAACTTAACAGGACATAAGTCAAACAGAAAAATATCATATTAGAGCTAAACAAAAAAACTATCACAAGAGACCTACATAAGGGTCTAAAACAATTCATTGACTCTTAAACAACATCAAACGAAAATTCTGAGCAAGGAAAGCTGGTTATTGTGCAATCAGAACAGATAGTTCCGACCATAGTATTAAAAAACACAACAAATAAAATTGTTTTTCAAATTAGTGTCGTTTTTTCGGCGTGAAAAGATCTGAAAGAAAAACTTGAACTTAAGCATATTCGACATTCATATTAAAATTGGCGAATTGAAAAATAATTTTTGAAGAAAAATGACTAGAAAAACAAAGCAAAAAGTATCAAAATTTTTTTTGTAGTTATGTGAATTTTTTTATTCCAAAAAAGCGCTGAAAACCTTTTAAAAAAACAAACGTAATCCAGTTAAACCTAATTTAAGCTACTGTAAGCATTTAAGCCTTTAAAATAGGCAATTGTAAGCCTAATCTCTCGCTTTATTCGTTCGAAAAAGACGAAAAATCAAAAAACTCAAACCGGTTTTCTCGACACTTGGAAATTTTTTTTTTAATTTTTTAATGTCGTTCGAATCACGACTGCAAGGACTTTAACAGAATATATCACTCAACTCTCTCCGGTGATTATTTGTATTAGCTCAATTTGCGTGGAAAAAGGAAAAAACTTAAACACCCGAATACAAATGGTCGGAACAATAAAAAATTAGCATACAAGCAAAATTTTCGAATTGATATCTCAGTCGGCTCATCTTGGATAACCTCCCGTTGATATGCACAAAATCTAACATAACAACTTTGAACTACAAAAAAATTTCAAACGCGAAGTTCATACCTAGACCCTCGAGCACACACAGGACAGAAATTTTGTTATCACCATTCAAACGATGCAATATATGGCGAATAAGACGATAAAAGATGAGCCAAAACCTTTCAAGCCAAAAACATTTTAGCGAAAAAATCAGAAATTGTTCAGAAACAGCACGAACATAGATTTCGCTATAGAAGTAGCATCATAAGTGTCAAAAAATCATTGTTTTGATTAAAAAAACAGCACGAACATAGATTTCGCTATAGAAGTAGCATCATAAGTGTCAAAAAATCATTGTTTTGATAAATAAAATAACTCAGAAAATAACTGAAATGAACCTCAGTCCTCAGACATTCAAGTTTTCCGGCTGACAACTATACACAATTGAGCCACTGACGCTTATAAAAATCTTCAAAAGTGCGAGAATGTGGCAAAAGGAAGCTTCGAAAACCACAAAAACACATTTTGCATGTAACAATTTCGGATGTAAAAAAACTATCCCTACGTTTGCATGTAAGTGATTGGAAGGTATAAAGCCAAATTGTGTACAAAGAGGCTTCGCACAACTTGCGATACAAAATAAAATGCCAAAACTCAAAAGATAATGTGCCTCAAACAAAAGTTGAAAGACCTGACCGAAAATGTAGGCTTAAAAACTAAGAAAAAATTTATGGCAATTGATATAAAAGACAATAAACCTAAAACATAAAAAGGATCCGAGCTACACAAACTCATTCACTTCTCTCTCATAACTAATATATCGAACCGCTCAAAAATCTTGCATGCAAACAACCTCCAGCACATCCTAGAGAAAAAATTGTGTTTCCCTCGAAAGTTTTGTAGAAGTACAGACAGCTTAAGTAAATCAAAACACTAAAAACCAACTACAACGTTAATTGCGCACAGCAGGAATAAAACAATCTAATATATTGCAACTAAGCCGAGAAATCATAAGCAGACAAACGATAAGCCGACATTTTTTTGAAACAGAATAATTTTCAGATTCGAAACCATGAGCTTTGCCGTTTCAGATGTATTTGTTACCTCAAGACCATGTGTCCCAGAGACGCAAAGAAACATGAATTGATTATGAACTTTACCATTTCTATTTCTGACCATTCTGTGAACAAAGTTATTTACAGGGGAAAACGTCAAGTACCACGACTGCAATACCCTTGCTGATCGCAAACGTAATAAATTATTCAACACAAAAATTTCGCAAAATATACTGAGTTGGAAGTTTGTGAGTTTTTAGTATAATACTGTTGTATAAGAAAACAGTTTCAGTCGGTTCATTTGATATATTAAAAAGGCATTCACTATGTTAACTTAATCGTTTTCTATTGTCAAAAAAAACATTAAATAGCCAATTCAAACTCCTGCTGTAAAATTGCCATCAATATTAGAATTTAAATTTACATATCATTTTGGAAAAAGTAGCCTTGTACTATCGCACTACGCTCATCTTGTGCAAAAAGAATTGAAACTTGAAATGCAGACGTGTTTCGAATTTATCTTTTGACCAGAAATATCTGTTGGCGACATGATTCGGTGATTTTGTTTAAATAGTTAAAAAAAAGATTTCTTTAACATGAAACAAGTTCATTCTGAATTAAAAACGTTCGCTAACGCAAATGTGACAAAACTGGCGCAGTTTGATAAAACCGGATCAAAAGATAATTTTTTTTCATTCGCTGCAAATCTTAAAAAATAAATTCCATCTGGTAAACGCAACCAATGACATTTTTCCCGCCAATCCTCTTTTTGTAACTTCAGAGCGTATTGTGCATTCCTTTGTGCAAATGAATTTCAATTGGACTCTACAAGAAATTTAGAGTCAAACCGCGAAAAACTTATTTCGAACGTGAAGGTTTATACCTAAAAATCCAGACGAACTGAAAAATCGCCAACGGATAGTGGAAAAGAGTCAATGAACGCAAGTAAACTCAACATTTTGAAAAATATCAACATTTGCATTTCAAAGAATAAATTGAATCAAGCTCTTCAAAGAATCAAGCTCTTCAAATTCAAGCATTTTTAAGACACAGAGGCAAAACTGGGCTTCGCGAACACTATGGAGAACACGACAAAAACAGCTTTGTAAAGTGCAATAGAAAATGTAGAAATAAACCTCGAATTGTAAATTCGGCTACGTCTCGGATTTCATCTGAACCTACAGATTAGGAGTCTCACGCCCTAACCACTCAGCCACGGACGCTTAGTTAATCATAAATACTAGTTACAAATAAAGCAGAGAACAGATGCTATGAAAGTTCCAAGGCTACCGTTTGTGATTATAGCAAAAGTGCCACCAAAAAAGGAACATTTTTAATGAACACTTTTTTTCCGAGTTAGAGTGGAAAAAAGAAGACTCCTAGATATACACCTACTTTTTTTGATAAAAGTATTCCAATTTGAGAAAACTGGATCAGGTACATTTTTCACTTCACTCAGAAATCTGATAATTAAAATCCAGTTTCGAAACTTGATGTCGACCACGTTTTTTGTGACCTTTACACCTTTTGCTGTTCGATACATTCACTTTCATCCGTTTTTCACTTAAATTTAGCCTGAATAGCAAAAACCATCTCTCGAAACTACAGAATTTCGTTTACCTTTATGTGGAATCCGAGGCACGTTCAATAATGCTTTGATATAACACCACACTATCCCCCCTTAGACCTCTTTGATGGCTTGAAAAAACACACGCCCCAAACCATTGTGAATCATATGAGGAATCCACCAGTTGTCCCTAGATCGCAACATGCAGGTATGTTCACCTGTGAAGGAGGACTCATCGCATGACAGCTCTGCCGACTGCATCACTCGCAGATCTGCAGGGACCCTATCGCCAGTTGCCAGATGTACAATATCTCCCGGCACCAATTCCCTCGCCAACAGCGTCTCCGTCTGGCCCCCATTGCGCACTCTGAAACAACAGACCAAAATGACCTTTAAGAACGAGATAGGGTCCGCAAGAACATTTAATAGAGTATTCTACGTTGTCATTTTTTTGCAACGAAGGCATATATTTTTTTGTATTGAAATGATTCAAAGCTCCACCTCGCGTCTGTGTTCAAAAACTGCTTTTTCATTAATGCAGGACAGACGTCCAAAATAAAATGTTAACTTATGTTATCAGAACTTGAATGTTCAATACCAACAATTTATCAAGCTTCGCACCAGTTCCGATACAAAACTTCGCACGAGTTCCGATACAAAACTATAAGCATATTTTGCAAAACATACGACACTCGAAAAACTATTGCAGATTAATTGAAAAATCGGATTGTATATAGATTTAAAGCAATCAAATATCTATTCTCTTACACTCGCATGAAAGCCGAAGCTCGTTAGATACGAAAAAGCAAATTTAACGCGAAAATAAATTTCTTTTGAAGAACAGCAAAATTAATGAAAATTTTGAAATGATTGGAAATAGCAACAGACAGTTGGAACAGTGTCAATGAACACAAGGCAACAGAACAAATACACTGACTTAATATTTTTAAATTGCTTTCGACTGACTAGTTTTTTGAAAAAAAAACTTAAATTTAAATGGCCTTAAAATATATAAATAGCCTTAAAATAGAAAAATGGCCTTAAAGCTCTTTGAATTTAACAAACATTTAATGATTGACATACTTTTGATAAACCTAAACCAATTTGAGAAAACTGGATCAATAGGTAATTTTTCTGATTCCACTGGGAAATCTGAACATTAAAATCCACTTTCGAAACTAGCAGTCGATCACGTTTTTCGTAGCCTTTACAATTTTGCTGTTCGATAGTGGAGTTCGACTTCCTATTGACAAAGAATATAAAGTGCACTTTAAAAATTCAAACCGCCAAAAATCAAATATAAGCGTGAACTACGTTCAAGACTCTTAAAAGGGATACAAGGAAAGAAAAGGCAAAATAAGCTTTATGAAATGAAACTTTTGTTGTGTGCCGCAACAAACGGAAACCTGGATATTTACAGACCCACCTGCTCGAATATTCGCTACCCTACTTGAATTTACATGATTCTTCGTGGGCGAGAATAAATATCTCTTTTTACTGAAAAAGGAGAAAAATTCACTCTGCTTAATTGAAGAAATTTCACTAGCCTTGAACAATTATCCGGAACATTATTAGCCAGCGAGTTGCATTATATTTGATTTTTAGAGTGCAACAAAACAAAATTAACTTACACTTTGCAAGATGGTGGCATTAGCTTCTTTAGCTCCTCCAGGCTCTTTTCAGACCTGTACTCCTGGATGAAAGCTACTGTGACCACAATGATTATTGCCTAAACCATTTGCATGATCACATTCTAATAAAATGCACCTAATTTAGATCACTTTCTTTCATAAGTGAGAACCAACTATTTCTACTATATTCTTGAGTCATTCGATACCGGGTTTTTAAGAAAGAAAATATTATCTTCTAAGAGTCTAAAACATAATGCTATAGCAGACTAGTTTGCTATCCGGCTTTTTTAAATCAAATGTAGCCTAGGTCTCCGAGCTTCTTACAGGCAAGCAGTTTGATGTACGTTTGTTTTTAAAGGATATTTTTATACTTACAGCTGTGATACTGAATGCGTCGTCGAATTGTCGCATGAGAATGCTGACTAAAGCCGAAGCCAAAAGCAGACCGATCATCGGGTCTTTGAACTAAAACGCAGAAAACATTTGAATACAATTGAAAATTATGCGATACTTCAATCGACGCATTTGAGCGAAAATACACACGGTAATAACCTATTTCATAGGTTTCTATTTTATGAAAACTGGGTACCAAAAATAATGACAATGTATTCAAATAATAATTTTTTTTACTAATGTATAATAATTGATTTGGGAGAAAAACAAACTTTTTCAATGTTAATTATGGGAAATCGGCATATTTTGGAATTGCACTCATGTCAAATCGGTTCTCAGACCTACGGTCAATTGATAATTCCATCAGAACAGAACTGTTCAAATAATTACCATATTGAAGTCATTTTAAAGCCACGCAGGTATCCTGTTAACTATACCCCCCTTCCCCCTATGGCGCCCAGTAATGAATTCCCACCCCTATCCAACCGCATATGCGTACCTTGCATTTTTTGTACCTCGTAACGAATCCCCCAAACATTTCGCAAAAGAGGGCGAGGGAATTGTTTATACGATCCCCAAACAGTAACATAATTATAATGAAAACTTCTAGAATGGGTTTTTCAATGAAATTCAAGAGCCAAACTAGTAGCCTAACTATTCGGACAATTGTTCGAAACCACAATCTACAGAAATTAGGAAACCCTATAATGCCTATTTGACCCAAAATGGCCATTCAATTCTTACGTTATCTTCATAATTATTAGCATATTCATTTTCAATTTGTAACATCAAACTTCGCGCCGAAACTTGCATCAAAAAATATGACAGTGAGCTTCTTTCAGAGAAACTGCGCTTCATGTACGCACGCGAAAAAGCAGACATTTAAGAAAAACAAAGGGTAATTGATGGAGAAAATCCAGGAAGAAAATTGACTTAAAACACGTCAGGATTCAGCCCAGAACTTGCCATTTCAGTCACTAATTGCTTGACCAACGGAAAAAACTATAAGTCGCTTTGATAAAACTCAGTCGCACAAAATTAATCCATATACTGCAAGCAGTTCAATTGGATGTCAATAAATCAGCTCACAAAGCGCAGCTTGACAAAAAATAGCTATAGCCGAAGTACTTAAAACGGGCGGAAAAAAAAACAACCAACACCACACCTTAGTTCTTTCCTGTCACTTCTAGACGTGGTAGCAACACTTCTTTAATAAGTAACATAAGTTCGACCAGACAAAATTAATTAAACAGAGCAACTGACCTATTTCAGAAAAGTTTTACATGCAAAAGCTAATTTTCTTGACAGAATTCATGTGCAATTTGTTTGCAGGATTGAAATTGCATGAAAAGCAGAGTCAAAATGGAAAGATAGCTCTTTTTTAATTAATTCTGTCTGTCTGAACTTTTTGCAACTCTCTGTAACCTACGCGCTTACTTGTGAGATATACTTCATAAATAGAGACTCGTCGTCCCCAGATTCGAACTCATTATAGCCGTGTGCTTTTCTCCTTCTCTCTACCTCATTTTCCGTCAGTCCATTGTGCGGGTCTGTGAACAAAAAAGAAAGCACATGGAAAACTACCGCCATTATAAAACATCCCCTTTAATTTGGATGCTTAAAATGTAACTAAAAAGTGTGCAGTTCATTAAAAGTATGATTGAGCATTGAGAAAATCAATATATAGACAGTGGTCTGAAGGGGACCGCAAATATTAACTGCGGGGGCAATAGAACCCTATATAGACATCGCTTTGAAAAATTTTTTTGCTGATTAAAACTCAGAAAGACAAAGCTCACTTATGAATTGATGAAATCATTTCTAATTTTGTCCAAAATGGTTTCATCCCAATTCTGCAGTTGTAAGATTAATGATAACTTACCAAGACAACTCACATTTCCTAAACAGCAAACTGGGACAATGGTATGCTTTAGCGCTTTTTCTACTAGCCTTAACCAACAAACACTGGAAACTTATTGGCCGAGAGGGCAATTCTAGTTTCCGATAGAAAAAAAATTCTTCCAAAATTTCCACTATTACAACTAAAAAGATATTTGCGGTCCCCTAGATTATATGAATACTGGATACATTTCATGAGTCACCTGTAAATGGACAACCTAGAAACAGATGGCACATAACCGTCGTCTTTTTTATTATATGGGTGAATAGCAATACTTCAAACTTAATGCTGTTTCCCATTTTAGCCCCCCAACTTATTTCCTGTTCCCTTCTACCTCACATAAGCTTCAGTTTCATCGTGTAATGAGTACTTTTACAGGATTTCAGGACCAAATACGTTTGGAATAGCCTACAAATCGAGCAGGCCAGTTTTTATAGCAACTATGAACAAAAACTATACTAGTTCAAGCGGAGCCAGTTACTGTACAATTAGTCGAGAAAGTTTCAAAAAAAAATCATAAATTTTTTTTTTCCTTTTTTCATAAACGTGTCGTTGTTTTTGCTTGGCGTGGGAAGAAAAACAAGAGAGTTTAAGGCATAAAAAATGGTCCTACTTTAATTGACTACTGTTTTTTTGGAAACTGAATCACAAATCGAAAACAATTTTTTTTCAAAATTTTTTCTCAAAATTTTTAACATTTTTCAGTCTTGAGCTTTTGGTGCCTGTCATGCACTAAATCGAGCTTCGAAAAACAGTTTTCCCTTTGTAAAAAATTAGTTTCTAACAACAACCTAAATAATTTCTTTTCAGATTTTAATAGCTACTCGCTCGTTTCACACGTTCTAAATTGGACTAAATCAAAACTTTCAGGCCTGTTTTCGTGTAATCTTTTTGCAAATGGGAGAGCCCAACTTAACAATTAGTTAATTTAAGCCTATTCAAAGAAACTTGACCAATTTTACAGATATATTAATTTCGAGTAAGATCATTTAATGGAAATCAATACCTGTGTGAACTGCGTCGATGACATCTTGGACGGATAATTTGGCAGCAGATTGGGTAGAGAGCGCATCCATTCCGTCTACAGTCATGATAAATTTTTCACTTCGGTCCGTGACCAGATCTTCAGATCAATTTCGTCACGCAAAACCAGTCGAATGCTTTGTTTGATCGACGAACACAAGTATTGTACAACACTCTTACTTCTTGTATTCTGTAGCTGACTTAATGCTGCTGGTCTATGTTAAAGCATGTTAACTGTTCTCATGGCATCGCAGAGTCTAAAAAGAATTATCATGAGCTTTCATTAAAGTTCGTCATTTTCAATCAGCATTATGATGCTACCAACGAACGACACGTCACTTATTTTTTCTTACAAATAAATTACCGCCAAATTTATATGCACCACTGCAAGTGTAAGATAGTCAAGTCAAGTGAAATTTTTTATGATCGTGAGGCGCTGCACCTCTTGTAATTTCATCTTTTCGCCTTTCGGTGCCCGATACCTGGTAGAATCATACGAAGCGCAGTATCATGCGAAATACATATAAGCTATAATTCTCCCTGCGAAAATCGAATAACGTTCTATTTCCATCAAAAATTCTTGAGTTTCTTCAAACGTTTGATTTACTTACACCTTTTGATCAATCTCAATTTGATCATCAACAGGAATTTAAAAGCATACTAAAAACGGCATGTAGTATTAAAACATAACAATCTATCAAAAAACCGTTACCAATAAACACCAAAGTGCTGCAAAATAAATTCAGATTTAAATTTTTTTTCATAAGCTTTACCATAAGATAAAACAGTTGCAGCCTAGTGAAAAATTTTATAAGATTATTTCTTGAAATTTTGTTTAAGCAATATAATTACACTTCATTTTTAATCTATGATTATTAATGAAAAAAGTGTTTCGTTTCTTATGTTACAATCATCCCTTAGGATGGAAAAGAGCTTCATCCTGGGCAAAATTTGTCACTCAATTTTAGGAACCATAAAAAAATCGTTCTAGTATGGAGTTTTGAAGTTGTATCACAGTAAAGAAGTTCCAGTCGTTACAAATACTTTTCTGTTTTTCATTGTAATAAATTTGAATGTTAATTTCAACTCACTCACTTTGTCCGAAAGGATATTTAAGGACGTTATTTGAGAAAATAAACACAAAACTGAAGGTGATCTATTAAAAACGAGTTTTCCATGTATTGTCTGTTATCTTTCGACAAAGTATAATTTTTTTTATTCTTATATTTGAGTCGAGACAGTAGTTTTCATAAATAATTTTTGGATCTTGTTAACTATCCCAACTATGGTAGCTTGTAACGAATCTCCCCCCCCCCCCCCTACAAAGAAAGAATTGAACAGTTAAGGGTATACGAATTTTGTGCCTTGAAATTTGTGCCAATACATTTGAGTTCATTTCAATGGCCCAGCTCTGATATTTTTCAAGTGTCATCATTGTAAATCATCAACTTATAATAATAATCATAATAAAATGAATTTAAGAGTAAACAACTCTAAGGGCCGACGGCCCATCAGTTAACAAGTCCGAGTCTGTAGTTGTTAGAGTTGATGCATGATGTACACCAACAGAGTATCGTCCACGTACAGCTGTTCCCATGTTCGTAGGATGATATGAAGTAATTCCAGTAAAAGTTTGTTAACCTCTGCTTCAAACCGGTAGTTTCGAAAAAATCTACTAAAGAGCCAATCATGTTAGCTAACTTGGGTGCCCGATAACAGAAGTTCAGATGAGATCTGCTTAGCCGGGGTGTCTCAACGTCGAACAGACTCTTGTTGATCTACGCGTAGATACATCATTTGCGAACGAAACATATTCATGCCCGTCAACTTCATAACCACCAGAGATAATAGAAGATAAGAACAACAAATCATGCATTTCAAGATACAGAGAAGCTGGAAGTAACTTAAATTTTAGAAGGCGTTCTTTGTAATTGAGCTCTGAACCCACAATCTACCGGGTTGCGGTCTGCTGCACATGTTCCACGACCCTGCTATCACACTTGTTCGCACAACAAACTTGGTTGCCGTACGTCATAATAGGCATGATGTATCCACAGTAAATATTTAACTTCGCTGTGATTGACAGTCGTGGGGACGTATTGCGCTTAACGGCGAAGAGAGCACCAAATGCTTCGCCACACCCGGCCTCAATATGTTGGCTCCATTTGAGACTTCCATGCACTAGAAACCCCAGATCCTTCTGGCTGTCGACTGTTGAGATTTCGGTTGACTATAGTGAAGCCACAGGAGCAGCTCCTATGATGGAAAGTATCTTACATTTGTCTTTGTTACAACTCATCAAGTTATCAGCACACCATTCGGTAAGCAATTCTGCAATTCTAGGTAACTCATTGTTGTTAATTGTCAAAACTTTCAAATCGTCTGCAAACATGAACGGGTGCCCACTGAATAGATCAGGCAGGTCGTTGACATATAGAAGAAATAGTAATGGACCAAGGAGAGATCCTTGATGTACACCGCTTCTCATTGAGACGGGATCAGAAACAGAGCCATTAATTTTTACACATTGGCGTCGTCCAGAGTGTAACATTCGTCTACTGTAGTCACACATGAGGCTTAAGAAAAATAGGCCCTATAACCATTGGCTCAAGAGTCAGGGACACTATCTCTTGTGTTTTTCTACCTCAAATCAGTCGGAGCCAATTCGGTTCGCTTGTGACATGAGACTAAGACCCGTTACAGCTTAAAGGCTACTACCAAAATATCCCCCCACTCTAGAAATAAGAACGTCCCCATACTTAGGTATCTAGATACCCAAAATACATGAACGCCGTTAAAAACCGGGTCGGAACAATCCGTTAAGTTACTTTTTATTAGACAGTGGAACTTTGATCCATTTCAGATGGATCAACCTAAAACTCGCCTTACCTCAACATAACAATCATAAAACACACTCTAGAATTCTAAATTAAGTACTCACATCGTAGCACGCTCAAGAACTGGAAGTAATTAAGTCGGTCAGCAACTCGAGAATTAAATTATGTAACTAAATGAGTTTAAAGTTTATCAGTTTCAATAACAAGGACAAGTTTTAACTCTAGAATATAGTTTCTCGTGAACCATTGGGACACTCAAGCTGTCCACTTTTTCACCGAAGGTTCACTCTAGTCCAGTTCGAATAACAATCCAATCGAGTAATGATAGTCCAGTTCTCGGGAATACGCTTGTCTCTGTTTCAGATGGGACAGCTCTACTCTTGTTCTATTGTGACAGAAATTGCGAATAGCAATTTCCCACTGTTTTATCTAGCAACTTTCCCGCATTTGTTACTCGATTGTTCTGATTTCTCTTTTTCGGTTTTCAGTTATCGCGAGTAAATCGTGCATGACAGGCTCCATTCGAATTTTTGAAAAATTAAATTTCACTCCAAAATTAAGTGCTCTTGCTTTTCTCAAGGTCAAACTTCCAAATATGACCGACTGGCACATACTCCCCGGACTCAAGATCGATGTCCTCATCGCGTGCTGTCGTCTGCCAGTGAGTCCCAGAAAACTGAGTGTTGCTCAAGGTACAGTGCCAGTGGTCATTTACAGAAGTTTGCAGCAGACTTAAGCTTATCTACACCCCAAATTTCACGGCCATGTAAAATTTTCACACTATCGCTAAACAGCAATCAAAATCTGCACACACCTGCACCCTTGAATTCTCGCTTTTCAAGCCAATTATTTAAAACTTCTTTTGTCCCATTCAATTAGGAAATTGTCATGCAGCATTTTGATTTATATAATAGATATAGCATATTAATAACAATATCTGATTCGTTAAAATTTCTTTTTCGTGAACCCAGGTTTCACCCGGATCCACACTCAAGCCCCCCTTCCCTCTCAAGACTTAAGATCCCTTCGAACCATCCGCTCATCTCGCACTCTTCGCCTTGGAGGTGCCGCACCCTGAAGTACTAGATACGGCAAACTGTCTCAACTGTTCTTCTTCATCATCGGAGCTAATCACGATCTCCTCCCAAGCCTTCAGCTGTTCATAGGATCGCATCCATTCCTTTTGCTCCTGCAACCTCTTTGCCTGGTTGGGTAGTGCCTTCACCCTAGATTCCCGGTTCAAACAAAAGGAGTTGTGCAGGCTCAGGCTCACGTTCTTCGCCAAGTCCTCCTCTAGTATCGATTCCCTCGCTTTAGTATTGTCTCTAGACATTTTACCCACTCTCTTCCATCCTGTCGTGATCGCATTTCGATGGGTTAACAGGGGTCTCTTGAAAGCTTCCGGCCCAATCTCGGCCTGGAACTGTCGATACTCCTTTTGATGCTTTCTCATGTGATCTTTCGTTGTCATGTATAACCAAGACGTCTGTGTCGCTCGAAACCATGGAAAGTACCTCAAACGGCTCCATACGTGTCTGACTTCCGTTGGTATGGCGAATACTTTGCACGAAGTCTCAAACAACTCGAGTCTCCTGCTGTAGTCTATCGCATATATTGATTCAGCCGTTGGCGTCTCCGCCTCCCGATACTTCGTTATATTCTCCTCCATCCATCTCAGAGCCATCATCGTACTCACTACTAAGAGCGTCACCTTCTGCCGGTGATCCGGTAATCCGATCGACCGAATTTCTTCCATATCCCACACCAGGCAAAGGTTCTTGTGATCTGGATACCACACCGTTTGTGCCAAACAGTGGCATGGGCATTCTCTATGGGTGATCTCAATGCTCCTGAGGTTACGCTCCCCCGAGGCTTCCAAGAGAGGCTCAAGCTCCATCATTTTCTCATGCATCGTGTCGTTCTCTTCCATATTTGGAGCACCCCCCACAGGTTTTCCGATCATGTTTTGTCTCTCATGATCGCTTGTGTTCTCACTTTCCAACTTCAAAAGCTCTTCTCCCCAGATTTCACTCAAGTCATCTCTCAACTCTTTCGGTACTGTCCCTCTGATTTTCCTCAACAACTTGTGCGAGTGATGCGATATCCGAGCCAACCTCACACACTTAGGCACTGAGAAGGCCTTGTCCACCAATACTCTCTGGCTGGATGCTTCCACCATCGCCATGTGCAGTGGGTAGTGGCTTCCGCACAAATTGGCCATCATTGACCCTATCAGGGATTTTGCGTTCAATGGCAGGCCATAAGCTTCGCTCATGGGAAACCCCGTTTCCGCCTCGAGACCAACCTTCCAGCTCCGGATGTGTTTTTGAGTCACCTGCAACACCCCAGGCCATGATTCTACGCTCAACGCAGTCACTAAATGGTGTTCAGACTCTAGCCTCTCCAGTGATTGCAGA